TCTAAGATGTCATATCCTTATATAAGTATTATAATTATTATAGAAAAAAAATGATTATATTAACAGTATTAGCCAGTAAGCTAATTAAAAATAATTTTATGACAGTATTAGTTAAACAAACACGCCATGCTCTTATTCTAATACAATGTTACATGTTTTAGTAATATCATTATTGAAACAATATTATTTTTCAATTAGAATGCTATTGACTAATGTTGCTGGCACAACGTTATATTTTTCCGTCTATAACTAATCAAAATTCGGCAATAATAATAAGTTATTGTCAGATTAACAATCCAAAAGACATCGCTCCACGAATAAGTTCCATTTACCGAGCTCGTCTGTCATCCTAGGCGTGGTTTCCGGTCATTGGTCTGTTGCTGGCAGCAGCGACTGGCCAGGAACCTAAAACACGAGATGAGATTCGACCACAGGTGTCGGCGACCAAACAAGAACTGGTTGGCTCCATCAAGCTGCTGGGACAATTGCAGCCACCTCGACCGTTCGTGCCCAAGAATCTACCGGGCATTATCGCGCCAATCGAAAGAAATCAGAAGAAACGACAGCTGGCCGATCTCGGGCTAACCTTTCCAGAGCCATTGTTACCACTAAATGGTCAAACTCCACTTCCACTTCTCGAGACAACTTTTGGCGCGGGTTTCGATGCCAGTATCGTTTCATCACGTCGAATCACTCCGCAACCAAAGCAGATTATCACGCGGATAACCGAGACATCACCGTCGCTTGGTCATGTCACAATCGTGACCCCACCGATTCCTAGATTACGACGTAGAATTCATGATTTCGACAGGTCATTCCATCATAAATCCCATTCCTTCCACCATAAACACGGACATCATCACGGACATCATCATGATCATCATTCGCATCATGACCACCATGATAAGCACGGCCATCATCACGAACACAAGCATCATCATGGTCATGAACATAAGCACGAGCATGGTCATCATGAAGAACATAAACATCACGAAGATCACAAACATCATCAAGATCATCATCATCACCATGATCATCATCATGATCACGGACATAAACACCATTCTGATCATAAGCATCATCATGGCCATGAACATAAGCATGGACATCACCACAAACACGGTCATAAGCATGGTCATGAGCATAAACATCATGAAGAGCATAAGCATCATCACGGACATCATCACCATTCAAAGCATGAACACCACGAAGAACATAAACACCATTCTGAGCATCACCATCATCATAAGCATCATCATCATAACGAGCACCATCATCACCATGACCATCATCATGTTAACGAGCATCATCATCATCACAGTCATAAGGAAACTGAGAAACATCATCATCATCATGGACACGATCACAAAGCGCATCATAAGCACGAGCATAAGGAGGAACATAAGCATCACCACGGACATGAGCACAAGCACGGCCATCACGAAGAACATCATCACGCTCATCATGAGGATCATCACCACAAACACGGACATGACCATAAACATGGACATCACGAGGATCACAAGCATCATCATCACGAAGACCATCATCACAAACATGGCCACGACCATAAACATCATCATGATCATCATGAGAATCATCATCACGATGAGGATCATAAGCATCACGAGGGACACGAGCACAAACATCATCACAAGCATCACGAAGATCATAAGCATCACGAAGATCACCATCATAAGCATGGACATGATCATCATCATAAGCATCATGAGGATCATCACCACCATGTGGTCGAAAATCACGATCACGAGCATTACAAAAGTTCCGGCCATCATTTCGAATCCCCGCCTGTTCATGAAGAATTCATACTCTCAGAAGAAAGCGCAGCGATTTCAGTGACACCGCCTTTAAAAGACGTTCTAAAGATCGCAAAATCACCGAAAGTGAGAGAATCCGTAGAGCACACGGAGATTGCGCAAGTTTAACATATATGAATTATAACATAATACGACAGGGTTGCTTAGAAGCAAAATGTATAAAATCAATTACTTAGAAACAATATATATCAACAAAAATTAAAAAGAAAGCATTTAGTAACGCAGAATAAAAAATTTCATGTATTTTAACTTTGAAGCTTTAAATTTCCTGCTACGTTCTATTTACGAAAGGGCAATCTTTTAATCAAGAACACTATTTTATTATGCATCGTAATAATTTCTTTTGATTTTCCAATTATTGAAGGTATATTGAAATAAGTTGAATAATGACTTTCTTTTAAACCACTTTTCTAAGAGAATTTTTTATTTCATATATTTATTATTAATAAAAATGACTACCATATTTGATAAATTAAAAATTAATTAGGAAGAACGAGAAATGAAAGAACATATAAATATAAGTAAATCACATTAAATGTTACATTAAATTTGTAATCTTTTAAATGCCTCACCGGCTCTTTTAATTTGTTATACGACGAAATATGGTACTCATTCATTTTCAGGCTAAATAGATGTGTCAGATTAACTTTTTGTTAGCCTTTTTTTCAAATGCAATATTTAAAAACATGTAATTTGCGCTTTTTAAACGAAATGTCGCTCATAGTCAACGAAAAAGTCACGTTTTGCATTAAAACTGTATATTATTTAACCCTGTCGTAGGAAACCATCCAACTGAATGCTATTCTACATTATCCGCTTTGTATTTTCTCGATGATGGCGTCGTTCAAGAAAACGATTACGGCTCGATCGTGGTACAGGCTCGCAGGTATCCCGTTAAACGTTGTTTCTCGTTAGTCAGACATTACTCGAGCGTTGTTGACACCTTTGAAATATAAAGTTTTCACCACTTTACGATCCTTTCATTTTTCCACCGCCCTGGCCTCTTGGTATAAAGCCGAGGTAAACGACAGCTCGTTTTTCCACGGAAGAGAGACAATATTTAAGGTTTATAGCAAAGAGCTGTATTTTTATACCGTTGCAAGAAATTTTATCCGTGAGGATATAAACAAACGATGGAAAAAAAGGGATAGATTAAAGTATTAACATGTTAATTGCGTCGAAGTAACAGTATTAACGCGACAGTATCAAGTGACAGTATCAACACGTCAATATTGGAAGAGTTTAATCGTACTCTAGCAGAAAACTCTACGCAAATATATAAATCCAATTTAAAAGACGATTCGAAAGTTAATTTCCAATGTAATTCCTTTAGGTAGCGAGGATCGTGATCGTAATTCTCTGACTTAAGAATAATTTACAGACGGTACTAATTTCTCTCGGCAAACTGCGATTCATGAAAGTAATTTCTTAGAAGCCGAGGGTTAGGACGTGTGTACATTGGGAAGGATCCTTCGATGCGCCGCAAGCAATACACCTATCTCGCGTGCTAGGTAATGAATCGATTATTCAGAGAGAATCGATTTAGCTTTAGGCGTGAGCGCGCGTAATCCGTTAATATCGTCTTCCACGACGTTGTAACTCGTTTGACAACTCGTCAACGTTGGGCGCTATAAGCCCGACTTTCAATTTACTATATTCGATCGAAACTTTTCGAGAGTGCAGTAGAATTGTGGAATGATACAAATCGAACAATGATGACTCTGGATAAGCGTCATTTCCGAAAGATCCGAAAGAAGAAAAAAAGAAAGCACTTTAGAAATCTTCGGAGAGTAACTCCCCGAAGAAAGAAGTCGAATCTTTCCGCACGATAAGAAAATCGAGGCAGACGAGAGATCTACGGCGGGGATGAGAGGCAGAAAGGAGATGAGACGATAAATCCCGTTTGTGGATTGAATTGACGCCTCTATATCGTTCACGGTGCGCTTCGCTATAAACGTGTTGCCATGCTTTAAGATTAAAAGGACAGATACATCCGCCTCTGATAACGCGATAAATTTCGAAAAAAAAAGCCGATTAAGTCAGGAGATATTTGCGAGCGTTGTCATAATTGGTACACGACATTGCATATAGTACGGACAGAAAAAGAATTAATAAGAATTAATAAAATTTTTTTTTAAATAAAAGAGAGAGAGAGGATATAAAAAGGAGCGATAAAATGCGAGCATACGTTGAAGAAGGTAGCAAAGTAAAAGTCGTCCCGCAGATGTCTGTCCATTAGTAAATCGTCTTTTAGCGTGATAAGTGAATCAAAGAGTAAGAAGATTCAAGGCTAAGAGAAGAAGGAAGGACAGACCGACGCGGACGTGGTAGGAGAGAACAAAAGAAAATAAATTGTGTTTGCGAATCAAATTACTAGTTCCATCTTCCTTCACCGCTCTGCGTAATTTTGAATCTAAATGTTACGCTCTTGATCTTAGCTTCATGACTACAGACACAGCAATACTAATAATAGTAATACTAATAATAATAATAATAATAATAATAATAATAATAATAATAATAACAATAACAACAACAATAATAATAATAAGCTAAATTATACAATTCGACACTTTTTATATTTTTGGAGTAGATCCTTTAAGAAAATTTCGAATCTAAATGTTATATTTTTAACGAAATTACTTAGGAGTTATTTTAAAGTTTTAAGCGAGAGGCCAATGAAATGTTTCGGAATGCTTGCCTATTAGGAAATTGTCTTTTTGTTGAACGAGAAAATCAAGAGAAAGACAAAGAGAGGGGCGAGAGACAAAATGAGGATACGCGAGACGAGTGAGCGAGCGAAGATAAATCCTGTTTGCGGATTGAATGGCTTGCCTCGACGTCCCTATCGTGTTCAACTTTGACCTAGAGCAACTTCCGTCTTTCCACAACCGCAAACTTGTTACCGTAATGTGCCTGTAAGTCGGTCTCACCGGTAGTTCCCGGTAGTTAATTAATTAATACAATTAAGCGACGACGGTTCCCGATATAAAGTTGTTTTCGAGTGGCGCGCAAAATATGTCGTCGGAATGAGGAATAACAATAGGTACTTCAAGAAAGTGTCGCTGCAAAAGGCGATAAGAACAACGCCGGAGTAATTGCGAGTTGTCCCTCCATTAGCGAATTATCCCGTCGTCGCGCAAGGAAAACAACGAAGGAACTGAATGCAACAATACGATAGGAAAGCGGAAGACTACGTGTTTTCGCGAGTTGGAACGTTGGTCACATCGTTGCCGATGCAATTGTTCTGCAGTCGCGCTGGCTGCGAGATAAGGAAACTAACGACAATGACCATCCAATCAAGGAAAGAGTGCAAGCACGTCTGTTAAAATATGCTCCTGGATAATAGAGAAGTAAGTGCTATTGTTTATTCTTAGTGCGATAATAGAAACTAGAGCTTTCTTTAAAAAGTTGCGAGAAGCACACTCGATCAATCCTGTTTGTAGATGACATCTGTAATTTAATTGCAAACATTAATTCTCTAATGCTAAGCGAACTAACTATCTCTCTCCTCTTCCGATAAACCTGTTAATATAATGCAACTACGGTTTAGCGATATAACGCGTAAGTAATAAAATTATACGAAACTCCGTGGTTAGTTTGCAACACCGAGATCGTGCCCAATTTGCACCTGCACGCAAACTGAGAATTACTTCCATTATGCTATCTGTGCAGATCGCAAAGTTCTTCCAACGTTTTTTCTATTACACACAGAAAAATATCATTCTGTTGCTAAGAAAAGTGATTACTCAATTTATTTTCTTACTTTCAAGTAACAATTACCTTTAATGTAAAATATACTTATTACAAGTTTTAGAAAACACATTATTATGTATTCAAAATAAGAATTTATTTTCTTTTGAAGAATAATATCATAAAATTGAAAAAAAAATTCAAAAAAAGCAACATTATATAAATCGAATTTGTTTTAATAATTTTTATCAAAGTATAAACTTGCTATTCAGAATACATTTCGAATAAATTTTATGCTTGTGATAAACTTATAATAGATTTACGGATGTTTAAACTTTTGAAATACTTGAAACAAGTAATACTTGCGTACAGTAAGTATTTTCCTGTGTGTAGAATTATTTACCTTTTCTGTAAAAAATATCGTGGAACATTACATTTTTATTTAGTAAATTTCTTCAATTTAATTGTTGCTGTTACCTTAAACTTGTAATTTATTTTTACTAACTCAGCTATTTTTACTAACTCGAAATTTGTATAATTTATTTCTACAAACTATTTCATAACCAAGATTTTCTGCTCTGATCATATCCTCCCCCTCCCTCCCCCTCTAAACTTGAAATGATCTTGCTGATGTAAAAACTTTTTACATTATTAGTACAGTAAAGAGATATACATAGGTCTTAAGAAAGTAGAAAAGAAATAATTTTAATATAAATGGAACTTGTAAATGCGTATTCACAAGTTTCGATAATAATTGTTAATGAGGATGAACTTTATGTTTCAGTAACATTAATTATGCTGGGCTACTTACTCGGCAGTACTTTCAGCCGGCTATTATTTAAATACGCTTTTATTTTAACGAGTCAAGTCTTTTATTCATTCATTGACGCAAGCTCTGCTAATGAGGGCTGTAATCAACAAAAGCAATGGATATTAATATTTATGTCATTCTAGTAATGCTAAATAAATTTTCGAAATAAAATTGCAAATTGCCAATTCACAGAAGCGAGACAGTTACAAACTAAAAATCTATTCGCAACGCCCGCTATCAAAAATTTATCGCATTGTCTGCAATTTCAATAAAATGGTTTCACGAGGTAGCACAACGAAAATATTATTTATGTTCGTGTTCTCTGTGTGTCGAGGTACCGCGGACGATCCATCAGATCGCAAATATTCTCGCTGGGAAAATGGCCGGCATCGCAATCACGAAAGCATTGCCAGAGCACGAAGATGTCGGCGGGGGCTCGTTTCAACGTGGAAAGTTATCGGTATCTATCTCGACGAAATCCTCGAAGTTCGCAGTGTCTGCCCGTGAAATGGGTTAATAAATCGTCCGGCGTGATACATTTAAGCCGTAGCGCGGCGGCTGAAGGAATTGTTGCAATGCGAAGGATCCGGGATCGAGGAGCATGGATCCGGCAGAAAGAGGTTACCGCGGACGCCATCGTGGGATTTAAATTCGTCCGACGGGTTTATCAGCATGCATTGGTCGGCGCACACTTGGTCCA